TTCTAAGCTTAATGTAAGTAGAAGAATTTGTGAAATGCTGTTTGGAATCCAAATAAAGAGATCATAAGTATATCTGAGATTTATTTCAAATTCCCTTATGGCTTCTTCCTTCAGTTTGTCTGAGCATACATGCCAAGTGCCACTCAGCTTATATCTCTAAACACCTAACCCAACATAATATAGTTGTGTTGGTTTTGCAGTTATTACACGTCACTAAAAAGAACCATGTGCCAATAAGTCTCAAAGCCATTCACCGAATTAGAAATAGACTGGTATTTTTCAAAACATAAAACGGGAATCCAGTAGAATATCAGAACAAGGGCCATACAGTGGGAGTGCAACTTTAGGACCATAACAATGACAATACTCTTTGCAAAACCGGTAGATCTGAAGCTCTAGATGTCAAGAGAATTCCTCTAAACTTTCATCTAGATCAACATGGTTGCGCCATTTGATTCCAATAATATGCCCCAAGTCAAGGGTAGTATAGCGGTAATCTTATGATCATCTGGACCAAAAAAAAATATAGGTCTTGTAAGACTGTACAAGTTCTGGCATCCCGATATCTCAAAGTGACGAACATCTTAATCCATACAAGCATACAAGTCTTGGTACACACTTATGTGCTTAAAGAGCATGGGAGCTCAACTGTATAAAATTGTAGTTACTAAATTAAGAGGCTATATGCTAAAATAGGATGTCATCGGCTCCTGTGCAACATTGTTTTTAGCTTTGAAAACAGCAATTCATACAAGAATTGGCGAGATAGGAGCAGCCTTATGCTAGGTAGATAATCAACATAAAACTTGAAGTTACACTAAATGAAATTTGGAACCTTGTTTTGCCGAGTGTGCTTGAAAAATTTTGAGAAGTATTTCCTTTAGTGTCCTGGTCATATTGCCTAAGGCATTATGATGAACTTCAAAGGCACTGTTTCATCTCTTTGTTTGATCGTATTAGAAGTCTTCTGGCATGGCATTAATATGTCTTGGGGTAATCTATTTTAATGTTTACTGTTTATTATAGCTTCAATTGGATACATATTATGTAGCCAGGTGCTGCATGGGCTTCACATGCATACTATGCTATATGTTATGGTTTACATGGAACTAGTATACTATGCAGACTATACTCAATTGGAAGGCTGTTTGTAGTCGTTAGTTTCCTTGGTATTTTTTGCTATATGGGTAGACTTCTTATCCACCATTTATTGTCCTTTTGAAATATTCATATTTCGTTCTATGAAGTGAAAGTTTAGTTTTCCTGTTAAAAAATGCTATATTAATGTTTTGAAATTGATCCTTCAGGCGCTACATTGAAGAAACATTGAAGCTGCTGCCTGGACCACACTCGGATACGAAGAGAGTAAGTAATATGTTTTCTTCCTTCCATTCTCGTCCTTCTTGATTCCCAGCCTTGCTTATTCATTGTCATGTCACATATATCATAATTTATTGATGCAGTGTATACATTTCGCAGAGTGGATTTGCAAGCAGTCCATCACTTGACACTCTTCCAGGGTCTCTGCACAGTGTGGACAAGTATGCTTCATTATTGTGATGTTTTGTATTCCTCATCAGTTTTGCATCCTTTTTTTTAAAAAAAAAAATCCTTTTCCCCTGTACCTGCATCTAAACTCATCATCTTTTTGTGAAAATTTGTTGGAGTTTCAAATTAGGAAGGCCTAATCTGTTTGTGTCTTGGCAATTGAAAGATGTTTTAGAGAAGCCAAAACAGAATGTTACTTGAAATTTATTTTAGAAAGGCATAATAATGATGGCACTAAGCATAATAACAATGTCATAACAATAACTGTGATAGTAAAACCAATAAGGATGATAATAAAAGTAATAACATTGGTAACAACTCTATCAGTAAATTTTTCTTTTTAGGGGTTGAACAGAAAGTTATTCATTCGATATCTGTCTTGCATATTTTTGAATTTATTTTTGGGTTGAAGGTGAACACGGGCAAGAGTTCTATCATTGGTGTCTCTGTGCCCCAACAGAAAATGGAGAGGTTGGTGGAAGATAATGGATGGGTGGCGGTAAATGGCCTATGACACATATATATATATATATATACATATTTTGTTTTGGGGAGGGGGGGGGGAGTGGGGGATCCTAGAATTGAAAGTTTTTGGAAGCCAACGATTGGGAAAATGGTAAGAGGTTGAATGGATGGATGGAAAAAGGCTTGGGTATCAAAAGGAGTACCACTGAGCTTAGTACATTTCATTTTATCTCGTATACCTGTTTGTTATACGACTCTCTAAAATTCCATCTAATGTGACAAGGATAACTGAGAGATTGATGAGAGTTCTTGTGGGAGGGGAATGAGGAGGGGCAGAAGGATCATTTGTTTGGTGGGATTTGTTTCTTGGTCTAGGGTTAAAGGGGATCTTGCTTTGGGAACATTATTGCTAGAAACACAGCTTTGCCGGGTAAATGGTTGTAGAGATTTTCACTGAACATGATTTATTTTGGCATATTGTTGTTAAGAATAAGTGTGGGACTCATGAGAATGGATGAGATTCTCATGACGGTAATTAGGAGAACTTATTGGGTCCATGAAAAATCTTTTTCATAGATTTGCCATGTTTGTCTTAGTTCTTGAAGTTGAGAGTGAATAATGGGGATAAGATTGGGTTCTAGGAGATAAATGGAGACTGATTGTCATTTTTCATTACTATTTCCTCATTTGTACGAGTTGTCTAGTTCTCGCAATGCTTTAGTTGCTTCTATGACATGTTCTTCTGATTTTGTATCAGTTGGAATTTCATTTTTTTAGGAACTTAAATGATTGGGATGTTATTGAGCTTTTTTCACCTTTTCACTTCTATGATCGGGATTTTCTTCACTTTTATGATCGGAATTTTTTTCACTTTAATCCTTCTTGGACGGGGTCATTCCAATTCAGTCAAGAAAGGGTGTGGTCTATTGCTGTTTCTGGAATTCGCTTTTTTAAATATTTTTGAATGATCTTATTGATGACTGTTCATGCACATTGTTTGCCCCTGCAAAGATGATTTCGAAAGCAAAAGTGCCTCTCAAAGTAGAAGTTTTCTCTTGGTGTGTTGCTCGTAATAAAATCCATATTTATGATTTGTTTCAAAAAAGACCTCATTGTCATTATTGGGCCAGTGGGTATATCATGTGTAGAAAAAGTAAGGAAACTTTTAACTATTTATTTTTACATTGTCCGATGGTTTTTTTGATTTGTCAAAGACTATTATTTTCGGTTGATTGGAGTTGGGTCTCTCCATTATAATGTGCATTGATACTCCTCATCAAGTTTTTGGGATTTGGAAAAGCGTAAGAAAGTTCAATCGCTTTAGAGATGTATTGTATTGCCAATCTTTTGGGGGTTATGGTTGGAAATAAATGCAAGCATCTTTGAAGACAAATATGACCAAGAAGCTAAATTGTGGGCAAGGATCGAAGTATTGTTTCGGTCAGCTCAAAAATGGAAATGTTTCGGAAACGCAGAAAAAATATGAAAACGCATAGAACACAAATACAATCCATTAATTTATAAAGATAAGCTAAATAATTGATTAATTCAACATATTTATTGGGTTAACATCCATTTATACAAGAATAAATTTAAATTTGAGGGAAAAAAAGGCTTGACATGAGGCGAAAATCACTTAAATTAGTTTCAAACACTTAATTTTTATGAAATAAACACATTTTTACATAATATTAAGGTCTTATAATACACATGAAATGCTAATGAGTACATACTTACATGGCTGCATCCATCCCCCTGTGGAGTGTCGAGCAGGCTCATACATTGGTGTAGGCTTTGGGTAGCTATTTAGAGAAACTCCATATGTGACATAAATATGATGACAATAGTTACTCCAACTGATATTATTACGGTAATATTATTCAATTAATAATACTATTTTATTATAATACTAATAATGAAGGGTAAAAAATTAAATTAATGGTACTTATGTATACTTAAAAATTAAATGTAATTATAGTGGGTATTAAATGTAATTACAGTGGGTATTAAATATAATTACATTAGAGTATTAAATGTAATTGTTAATATTTATAACCAAAAAAAAAAAAAAAAAAGCAAAAGACTTGCACAACAACGGGGTATTAAATATAATTACAATGGGTATTAAATATAATTACAGTAGGATATTAAGTGTAATTATTTATTCTTATAACAAAAACATTATAAAAGGCAAAAGAGCAGTGAGAATTAAATGTAATTATAGTGGGGTATTAAATATAATTATAGTGGGTATTAACTGTAATTACAGTGAGTATTAAATGTAATTATAGTGGGGGTATTAAATATAATTATTCATAGTGAACTGAATATATCACTGTTTCAATCGAAACGGTTCGAAACAGTACCGTTTCGACCGAAACAGTATCGTTTCGACCGAAACACTAGAATTTTGTGATTCAACTATTGTTTCGTTTCAGAGTGTTGAAATTTCAAAACATTTCGGACGTTTCGGACGTGTCGACACGACATTTTGATTCTTGATTGTGGGAAAGAGTGTGTTTTTGGATTCTTTTTGGGCTTCAGATACACTGGAGTTTGTGGGTCTTCTGGTATCTTTTATTTGGGCGAATGGGCTCTCGGTCTGTGGCGATTGATGGGCTTTTTATTTTTGCTTTTCCCAGTCTGTGGCTTTCGTGCTTCTTGTACTGATTTCTAATTTTCTTTTTGATGGAATTCTGTTGCTGATTTAAAAAAGATTAAATAAAATAATAGTATCAGTAGTATAGTAGCAGCAGCAACACCACCACCAACAGTAATTAGTATAATAATGGTAATGGAAGAATAAGAAGTCAAAGTATTTTGGGCTGCCAAAAAACAAAATTTCTTCTTCCATGAAGAAAGTAACATGCCAAGCAGATACTAGGCAAAGATGGAATGGAATGCTAATTTGTTTCTGAATGCTTATTTTTTTCATTTTTCAAGAAGGCCTTCTTTTGTTTTCTGTTACATTTGTGCTGTTATTTTCATTTATTTTTAAATAAATTTCTTGCATAAACAGGGTTTATGGTTTTTCCCTTACATGCTGATAGTGCATCCACGTGTGTTCTAAAATGAAACTCTAGTTTTCTCTTTTCATCCTAAATATATAAAGGCTCGTCTTCCCATGCTTTTCCTCTGATCTTAGACCTTCTAACATATTTCAGAATTGGTGACGGAAGGCGCTCTTTAGTCCTGGTTGTTTTCATTGGAGGGGTAACATTTGCAGAGATATCTGCACTTCGTTTTCTCAGTGCCCAGGTATGTTTATAAATTTTATGCCTTGGATAATATTAAGTATTGTTTTATGTTTCTCTTTTACATTGTTTACTCAGCAACGTGTCATACCATGTGTGATATAAAACACGGGAGATTTGCTTGGGAATTTTGTGCAAGTGGACAAGACTGGTTTTGCATTCTTTCTCAAGTGAAACAGATTTTTGGGCTTCTAGATGCCTGATTCTAAGAAACACTGAACGAATTTGTCTGTTTCTCTTGAAGTAAAAGTCGAACCGTGCCAAACTTACTGTCAGCTGGCTGATTTTGACTAATAAACAAGTTCATCAATGATGTTAAATGAACTATTTGGGTATTTTTCTTTGGTGACAATTTCTCTGCAAACTTCTGCTTGCAGTCATCCCTTTTTTCAAAGTCGAAAAGATGAATGGGTCTGCATACTTGATTAATTCATATTCGTGGTTCCTTTGTTTATTTTATTTCTTAATATGCTGGAATTTTAGGCTCATGATATTTAAGTTATGTTTCGGTTAATGGGATTGGCTCTCATTACGAGTAGAGATCATTAGCATTAACATTTTGTGGTTCACGTTGGAGTTATTTTGGTGTGCAAGTTTTGTAGACTTCAAACTTTTTTCTTTGCTAATTTTTGAGTTCCAATCATTTAACTCAAAAATAAAGGTTTTATTACTAGAGCTAAAAGTGCCGATATTCATTGATATGAATCATCACAAGAAAAATGGAGTTGGAGAGGATTTTGTGATCATTAAAAATTTAGGGCAAAAAATGTAATTGATTTGTGTTTCCAAATGCTTCCAGTATTTTTTAAACTCGTGTCTTTGGAACCAAACGGTATTGTTCAAATGTGAAGCGCAAGGGAATGATTATGTTTTTAGTGTACACCAAAATGCCAACTTACCAAATCCTTCTGGTAAGCTTCTCACGGATTCTCTGAATTAACAGAAAAGGTGGTGTTGTTATTGATGTTGCTGATACCTGGCCAACTACAGGAACCTGTACCCATGGGCAGAGCCAGAAAACTGCTATAGAGGAGTGCAAATTTTAATAATAGGAAAAATACGAAACTGTAAAAATAATGAATGCAAAATTTAAAATGTTGATTAGTAATATTTCTATTCAATTCATCCACAATTGTTCTGGATTAGTTTTCATATTTTGAAAACATTGCATGATAACCTCATTGTTAACCCCATAAAACAAGTTTTTTCTTCATAGAGTGCCTCTAATCAATCGTTGTTATTGGATTGACAGTGAATCAAAACCTTGGGTGAGACCCATTGTTAGTTCAAGGGCAACAACAGATTAGGTCAGCTAATTAGATAAGCAAATTACTTCTAAATAGTATTATCGTTCTTAATGTATCCCAATTAACAACTGAGAGAGAGGGGGAGCGAGATATTAGGAGCAGGAAAACAAATAGCTGTCGAAATTTTTCTTGAGAATATATTGAGAGGATTCAAATAACTAAATATTAGCTAAGTTTACTTAATTGGATGTTCCGAGATTGAACTCAAATATGAAGAATGATTATGTGGATCAGTGTGTATGAAAACTTTTTTGAAAGGAACAAGATTGACAAATACATTAAAACATGTACAGGAATTTTTACAAAAAAAAAAATTTGAGTGGTGGCAGAGTTGCTTGTAGCTCTGCCCCTGCCTTTACCCATGGTTGGGGGGTCTCAGATGATCAAGCAGCTACATTGAAGATGCCTTATTTTGTTAGTCTGGATAACTTTTTCCCCGCTTTTTTCAGTGCTCCTCAATACCTAATCTTGTTAGTATGTCTTTATCAATCTACTATGTCTTTGCAGGAAGGGATGGCATATGACTTGATTGTAGGGACAACAAAAATTGTCAACGGCGATACCTTCACCGAATCATTCATAGAGAAATTGGGTTGACTTAAAGAGAATTGTGCGTTCCATATTTCCTGTAGAAGATTAAGAGCTTTTGATGCTTGTACGACATTAAAGGAACCTTGCTGCTGCAATTACTACACACGAGTGGTTTAGAACTGCTGTTTCGGGTTGAAAACAATGTGTATTTACTGTTTTATTGCCAAGGAGTAAGTTGAAAGTTTTGTGGTTCCACTGTATTCATTTTTTTTTCCTAGTAAGTTTTTGTTTTGTTGTTTGAGGTTTATTTTCTGATGACAGGAATTGTATTTATGTTGAATCTTTCTATTCTGTGTCTCTAGTGCTTACAAAATTAGCTTATCGTTCTATTCTCAGTCTCAAGTGATTGGAAAGTTAGCTTCTCAGCTATCGTTGTATGACTGACCCCAGGCCGATTGTTCTGCTTAAATATTCAATACACAAAATCCCCAACAGCTGGATTAACGTCTACAGGTAAAGTGAATTATAGAGAGAGAGTCCTTTGTTTTGAAAGTGACAAGATAATTCTTGTAACCCTCTTTCTTTATTATGCTGTGTCATTTGAACACAACATTAAACACCTCTAGGGGGCCATCTTCATGGGGTATCTTGGTAGTTGCCTGATTCGTGTGAAATGGATGGTTGCATGTGCTCTGAAGGGACCCGGCTACGTTATAGTTAGCACTCAGCAAAAAGGGAGGTTGAGAAAAGAAAGGGTGTGTTTGGATTGTATTTCCAAAAATAGGATTCAAAAATGTTTTTGGAAAGAATTTTAAGAAAGTGTGTTTGATGTTTTTATATTGTAAAATTTATTTGGTTATATGTTTCTGAAAACAGTTTTAAAGAACATAAAATAATAAAATCTAGTTAGATAATGATCTACAAAATAACGAAAATATAATAGAGATATAAATCCATTCCACACCAATCTTTTTTGCCTACTAATTTTAGGTGGGGTAATTATAATAGAATGAATAGACACAAGTGCATTCTTTCCTAGTTTAGGTTGAGAATCACCAACAATATCACTTCCTTTGCCAAAATTAAAACTTGAACCCACTTCACACATATGTATACACATCTGTGCACATATATGTATATTGAGTTGCTTGTCCCTTCGGTGAGAGAGCTTTGGAGATCTTCGGCGAGGTAGCTCTGTTGGATTCGAAGAGGAAAACTTCACAGTGAAGCTCAAGTAGAGAGGGAGAGTTGCAACTTGCGGGAGAATAGAGATGAGTTGGAGAGAGGGGGGATGAGTTGCGAGAAATAAGGAGCCTTTTGAATTGAATTCTCAAAAAATGCTGAAAATGTTTTCGATGAAGTTCAATATCTAGACCTCATTAAAGAGTTATGTTTTTCGTATTTTCAAAATTTTTGAAAATCTTGTTTGAAAAGTGGAAAGAGAGGTATATCATGTTCTCAAAATTTAGCCTGATTTTCAAAAAGTTTTTCAAAAAATAGCAAATCAAAATTTTTTTTGGTGTTTTGTATTTAAAAACAAAAACTTGTTTTCAAGATACAAATCAAACAGGCCCAAAATTTTCGAAGATAGAAAATGAACAACTTAGTTCCAAGTTGTAGTGTCAACTTCTGATCGTGTCCATGTTTGTACCCAAATTTGTGGTATTAGAAAAAACTATTTAACCCATTACTAGCTCAAAAAAATCAAATTCCAAATGTTCATTTCTTTTTCTTATATTATGAAATGAATAGATCTTTCACATATACCATTAATCTGGCTCATTTATAATTTGTGTTGACAAATTGCATCATTTTTTAGTACCAGCCGTGTTATTGTTAAGTTCGCGTTGTTTTAAATTTGTGTCGAACACATATCAGGTCATCGAATTTTACTCTCTGCGATTGTATTTGGTGCAACAGTGTGCTGCAACATCAACATTACAGTCCCAAGACATAAAGGCAACCTAAAATCAGTTGCCCACTTCAAAAGTCAAGCAAAATTCTAATGTTTAAATTGGGGAATAAATATAACTTCTTCCCATTACCAACAATCCATGACCCCTAAAAATCCCATTTCACCCAAAAAAAAAGAAAAATGTTACAAAAAAAGACACCACTCCCATCCATATTTTTGTACACAAATACCTTGATTTAATACACCAACATATCTGTCTATATAATACCTATGTTTCAAGAGGATAACAAAACTCCTGCACAATATTCTGAGGTCTACTATGACGACTTACAAGAGCTTCAGGAAGAAATCTAAGTTTCACCTGAATATCATGAAACACAGACTGCTTCAACTTGTTGGAGAAGTTCTAAAACGCTTGCTGCTTTTCTCTTGGCCCGATCAGTGCCATTCTCCGACAGTTCCTTCAATACCTCTTCTGCCCCAAGCTCCTTAGCTATTCTTAAACATTGTACATCACCTGTACACAGTGACCACAATAGAGCGGCAGCATTCTCCCGGTTGCGTGGTGAACCGGTTCTTATAACCTCTACCAGTACTGGCATTGGCTCAGCCTGACCAATCGCTGCTTTACCTTCTTGATGGCTTGCAAGTATAGCCAGTATTGCTAATGCCTCATCCATCATTCCACCACCAGCATCCTTCAGCAATCCCATCAGTGGTGCCACGATCCCCGCCTTTAATGCTCTCACCTTGTTTCCCTGATATATTGAGAGATTAAAAATTGCAGTAGCTGCATCCTTCTTTCCCCTTGGAGTGCCCTGGCAGAGCAAATTGATAAGAGCTGGGATAGCCCCTGCTGCTCCGATTGCCACCTTGTTTTCATCCAACACTGATAAACTAAAAAGGGTTGCAGCAGCATTCTCTCTTGCTTCCATGCTGCCATTTTTCAACACATCTACGATATCAGGTATAGCTCCTGCATTTACAATACTTCCCTTGTTTGCCTCGTGTATGGAAAGGTTGAGAAGCGCCGTAACAGCGTGCTCCTGGGTCCGAGAATCAGTAGATGATAGTAGTTCTACAAGCAGAGGAATGGCTCCTGCCTCTGCAATACAGACTCTATTATCCGCATTTCTCTTTGCCAGTAAACGGAGCTCACCGGCAGCTGCTCTTTGCTGTTCTGAATTACCATTTGCAAGTTTTTGTAACAAGGCATCAATAGCAGCTCGATCACAGTCTGAACCACCAGCTCCTGATCTGCTATTACTACAATTGTTTTGTTTCTTTGGCAGCTCAACACCATTACTCTCACACCACAAAGCAATAAGACTCTTCAAGACGTAGTTAGGTGTTAAGGCTGTATGCAAAAGAGTCTGCTGAGTCTTGGGACAAGTCTTGTGCCCTGCGTCCAGCCATTTCTGAATGCAGGACCTTTCATATGTCTGCAAAAGTAAAATAGCAGCTAAATATTGGCTAACAGTGCATATGCAAAGCTGTAAACTGCTAAGGTAAATGCCAGTTCAAACCTGTCCAGTAGAAACAATAACAGGATCTTTCATCAATTCAAGGGATATTGGACACCGAAAATCATCAGGGATAACCGGAGACCTGTGCTTAATCAAGGCCTTTTCATCCTCGGAGGCATCAAAGTTGGGGTTTCCCATCACTACACAGTCCTTTAGCTTCCTAAGGATTAATGACATGGTCTCAAAGCAGTGATCTTGAACTCCATCACTAGATATAACCATATCGTGGATAGCAATTGACTCCCTCTTTAAATCGTTTATAGTCCTGAGATGCAACTTTTCCGAAAGCCTTTTCAGAATGGAAAGGTCAGGGTCTTTTTCCTTTTGTGCCATAGCTAAATCCATTTCCAGTTGCAAATCAGGTGAGTGCATCCTGCCCATTGCTCTTTTAAATTGTACATGCACAAGTTCAATCTGAAGCAAGTATAAGCAGGTCATAACTTTGGTCAATAAAAAAGAAAGTACAGACTTCCATAAAATTTTTAGTCTGAAGTATGTTTCTGAAAAAAAAAAAAAGCTCCTAAAGTACCTGTTCTCGCACTTCCTCTGAGATATTGAGTTTATCACAAGGAATCTGGGTCAGAGCTTCTTCAATATGTTCTGTCAGTTGACGGAACTTTACTGCAATTTTGTCCATTTGCAGAGCCTGTGACATGGAAAACGAAGCTACCATAAAGACAGAAACCAAACCATACAAGTTGGTTGTTTTCAAAACAAAAATATTGATACATGATGAGTGTAAAAAGTCACGTTCTTACCAGCTTATGGATAGTTAGAGGTTAGACAGATATATAAATTAAAGCAATGAAATTAGAACTCTTTCAGCGATGCCTAAAACTAAGCATTTATTTTATTGAGCTGAACATCGAAAAAGTTTCATTTAACAGATCCAAGTATTTCTCAAGAATTAAACAAGAAATGACTCATGAGTGCTACTGCTCAGTGATACAGAATTGAGTAGATTATGTGCGATATAAGAAATGCGATGGAACACACACACACATACAGATTCCTTGATCTTTAAACCCCAAAAATTTTAGACATCTACCCCAAAGCCGAAACAGGGGAACAATGTTGACAATTCAAGCCCCTAAGTTCGACAAAGAAGATTTAGTTACAAACAAGGATCAAAATATCGTTTCGAAGGAGATTGAAACGAATCCTTGATAGAATCAAAATTTTAATATTTCGAGGTATGTCATAATATTTGGAGATGTATTATAATATTTTAATGCATTTGCATAATTATTTTGGAATGTTTCAAGATATTTTGATATATTTAAATCAATGTTTTAGAAAAATAATTCTTAAATTTTTTATTTTTGTCATTATGTTTTCGAAACGGGTCGAAACGTTTCCGAAACACATCGAAACGTTTCCGTTTCCTCGGTGACCGAAACAATATACCGAAACAAAATTTTGATAGTTGGTTACAAACTAAAGTGCATTTGAAACAAAATGAGGATAATTTCCTCAAATGCGAATAGTTTCCTCCAAGGCATTTATTTTCATATATTTAAAAATCATTTGTTCAACAGAACTGCAAACTAAACACAGAAGCAGTTCAATCTCAAAAATTACCCAGAGAAGACTGTTATGCATACCTAAGTGTAAGGGGTAGAACCCTCCACTCAGGATTTCGGCTTGACCTCCGCGCGTTCGGGAGTAGCCTTTACCCCTCTTCCTGAGCCGGAGCCCTGGCCTAGCCTAATGTGGGGAGGGCGCACCGTATCCCACATCGGAAGAGAGTCGTCTTCCCCCCTCGCATATAAGCCCTTGCACTCAAAGGAGGAGGTACCCACTAGTACCTGATCAGGTCCCTAGTGGGTACCTCCTCCTTTGAGTGCAAGGGCTTATATGCGAGGGGGGAAGACGACTCTCTTCCGATGTGGGATACGGTGCGCCCTCCCCACATTAGGCTAGGCCAGGGCTCCGGCTCAGGAAGAGGGGTAAAGGCTACTCCCGAACGCGCGGAGGTCAAGCCGAAATCCTGAGTGGAGGGTTTCATCCCTTACACTAAGATTCTATCACCACAGATATAAATCAATATTCAATTCTATCCTTTGTCATTTGTCTCAAATTCTGAAGATCATTTGATTGAAAAATTACATCCCTAATAATAACAGAGAATCTTCACAAAATTTAAAACCAAAAAGTTCTTTTTTTTTATTTTTTGGGTTCAACGGACCGGACGCGTGCCCCGACCAATCCCCTCCCAGGTCAAAGGCAGAAAGTTCAACTTCACCAATCAAGTTCAAATCTTTAAATGACTTCTCAAAGGTTTCGAGTTCCAATTTGAATATCAAACCTGATTAGGCTCAATTTGGCTCAAATTTTCTCTTTATTGCTTCGTTTTACCCTTCAAACGAAATAACATCAAACACATGAATCAAAATTTTAATTTTCTTTTCTCCACTTTCTCATCAAAAAAAGAAAAGAAAAAGAACACATATCAAAGGCCAAACACAATTATAGTCAAAAGTCATAGCAGTTAGCTAAAAAATACGAAAATAAAACAAAACACCCAATACCTGAAAAATTTTGCTGCCTTCGTTGACCGATCGAAGAAGCTCTATGGCCCTAATGAAAGCAATCTTCAAAGCTTCAAGCCCTAAAACGACGTCGTCACTGAGCTCTTCATCTCTGTCTTCCAATTCCTCAAACAGAGGGCTCAGTAGCTTCACTCTCCGGACCAAATCACTGTACAGTTCCTTCGAGACATTTCGGCACTCGGGTAACCCAGAAATGTCTTTTATCAGCTCACCGAGTTGACTCACCACCTCCTTCTTTGCATCGTCCATTGGACCCATATGGGTCTCCCAAGAAAAATTGCAGAATTGAAGGTTTTGAGAGAATGGAAACAGACCCAAATCAGATAATTGGGTTAATTTTGATGGTTTGGTCCAGAATTCGTCGGCTCACCAAGACGTAATTGGGTAAGACAAATCACCCAAGGAGAGCCTAAGGGGGTTTAGTGGGAAATGAGACAGACCCAGGTACGGGGATTGGTTGAATTTCGAGAATTAATGGCCGAGAATTGAATTGAATGTACAGAGGATTCAAAGTCTTATGTGGCGAGAGAGAGAGTTGTTTTTTTGGGCATTAAATAAGGTGGACTAATTATGGGCTAGTATTATACTTGAAGAATTGATTAGTCTTACCGCGTCTTACCAGAATGCAAGGACAGACTAAAAAGTAGTAAATTCTAAAAACTTGTGTAAAAATGAGAAGGCCTACTCGTAAATTTTAATATTGGATAAAATTTATTTTAAATTCAATATTTGTATTGAATAAGATTTTCATATTAAGTTCTTAAATTAAATCAAAGTAATATTTTTTTGATTTTCTTGGTGTACGCATTTTTGTTTTATATCCCAGCTCTTTCATTGAATTTATTAAATCAATGTTAAACTGTGTGTAAAATTAACTCTCCACACAAAAGGATAAATTTGAGGACAACGGCCCCAAACAACGTACACACCCAGTACATACTCAAACAATTGACCTCAGCCTCGTTACCGTGCTTGTCAAGTGGCCAAATTACCACCAAGTCAATCCCTTAGAATTCAATATACATCGATGATGCATAAAAATAGTTTACACACTATCTGTCAATTAAATAATATAAAATACAGTAAAGTAGAGGAAGATAGAAGACAAGATTTATAGTGGTTTGGTCAATATGACTTACGTTCACTTTGAATGATAAGGATCACCAGTATTTTATTAACTCCGATGTTTAGGGAGAGCAAAGAGTTACAAACTTTAAGAGAGAGAGAGGAGAGAATTATGCTCAAATGAGTGAGATGCCCCCTCTAAGTAATAATTGAATAGTTAGTCTGACAGTCATAATGGGTTGGGACCATTTAATAGTCATAACGGATTAAGATGACTTTAATAATAATTAAATAGTTTAGCTCCTTGATCTTGATGAGCTTGTCCAGGTTGATCATATTAAGCTGGACTTGCTGGATCTCTTGGAGATAAACAATAAACTCAAATCGGACTTATAATTTGAGTTAAGCCCCTTGAGCTTGGCCCATCATACATGATTTTTAAGATGAGTCTTAATTAGTTAGATACAAATTATTTTATGTGTGATTATTATTGGTGATTATAACCATTCAAGATTTACACTTAAAGCTCTTGTGTAGATGAAAATATTGGAACGACAGTCTCAATATTCATTGATGATGCGTATAATTAATTATAAAAATTTATTCGTCTATTAACCCTATAGGATGGAATTAAGGTTTACCTTTGACGAGCAGATCCACACGAATGAAGAACATATATAGATCAAATAGCAAGTTCGATAGACCTCATAATCTTTTACTGTATAAACTTCTACACCAAGACCTGAATGCAGTGTGGACTACAATCCTACGAATTTTCTCTCTTGCTCTCTCTCTACCTCTTCTAAATGTGAATGTAAAAGTGTAGAAGTTATGGTTGATAGAACTAGAGATTGAGTTTATTTATAGGTTATAGTAGAGACCCTAATGAGAAATAAAAGTCGGGCTTTCAATTGGCCTAGGAATCTTATGTACAATTCAGAACAAACATCCTACGGTCAATTAATAATAACTTAGTCTACTAAAAATTTATTATTAATCTCTCGAGTCTTATCTCAAAATTATTTTTCAAGCTTCTTATTATTATATATTTAATAATCTTTCTATGTCTAAGATTATAGATATTCATCAATTAATTAAATATAATTAATTGATTTTTTTTATGCTTGAGATCTTATCACTCAATTTATTTGTCATGTCGGATAATTAAATCCACCTGCAGGGTTTAATATTTACAAAACTTATAATCTTTCTCAAGAGGACATTATCAACCTATTTAAATAGTGGGAAGTAATTTCCTTTAATAATTAATTTCAACCATACAAATAATATCATCTCCAAATTCACTGAGTTTGTTGATTCAAAATATAAATCTCACTTTGATGAATTAAAACAACAATCTATATAATAAAGTAGCTAGATTGTTCGTCTTGAGTTTTTCGCTGCTCAGATCGTTAGAAGATTATTGATCTGACGATCCTAATTGGACTTTTATTTCTTTTATAACTCTAAATCTCTCATATCTCACACACACACACACACATATATATATATATATATACATATATCTTAGATGTTTCAAATACTGTAAAATCCGATAAAAAAAAAATATTATTATTATTATTAAAATCCTAATAAAAAGGGTAAAATAATAATTAATTATTAAATTATGGGTCAAAAACGTAAATTTAAAAAAAAAATATATATATATATATATAAGTGGAAGACTTTGTCTTCCACTTTTTGTGTTTTCTACAGCCGGCGACACAGTGAGAGTGAAAAAAAAAATGAGTTTTTATTTTTTTTTCTCTTTTCTTCCTTCTCAGATCTAGGAAAATTTAACCGTTTAATCGCTTCGGGCCAAGAACTAAAGTTGCTCTACTCAGCGAGAGCTACGCAACCACACCAAATATCGTATTTTTCTTCGAAGGTATATCAAAGCCGATAATCTAGACCTAAAACTTAGGAAGCTAAATTTGGGCTTCCTTGGCGTTCTAGTAAGTGGTCTCACGCTACGAGAGGTAGGATTTCCCCTATTTAGATTTAATTTCAACTTAAAATATGACATATGGAATGAGTAGATTATGAGTGTATATTACATGTTAGGTCTTGACTAGTGTGACTAGTGAGTCAAATATAGAATTTATAATTAATCTTGTGATTAATAAAATTCTATTGTGATTAACTTGGTGTAAGTTAATGTTAGTAGTTTAAAGCATGTTAATTGTATGTTAGCATTACTTTATATTTTAATGGCAGATCAAGTTTAATAAAATTATTAACTTGTTATATGATTGTGAAATAATATATATATGTTAAATGATTATTTAACATATGATTATTTTGGTGGACTTGTGCTTATGTTAAACATGTTATCATGTTGCAAGTCATACCATGCTAGTTGTGTAAATTGATGTGCTCTTTAGGTGTTTGATTAAATGCCTAGGTGAATACAAGTATGTTAGTTGAGTTGATTATCTTACATAACATGCTTGAGATCGTGTTAAAATGTCATTATATTGTATTCATTATGTAATAGACATTGTATTTCATTATGCATGGGTTGCACTACATTCATGGGCATTGACATGGGTGAGAGTGTATGCATGGTATGAAATCAATCACCACGTAGGTGGTTGAACGTGGACTCAGAAAAGTTGCACCAAGGTTTCGGTTGAGTCGCACGAGAAATTAAATGGATAAATGTGTTGGGGACAGCACGAAGGGCTAGATTCTCCCTCGGGTGCAAGACCCGCTTATTTGGTTTATACACTTTCCGGCGGTGAAATTCCAGAAAAGTGTAACGGCGGAAACGGAGCCGCAGGTGGGATGTCCTGAAGATTCGTTGATGGTTGGTGTCCCATTGGTGATTACCATAAATCATCTCCCCACAAAGATACAAGAAAATGAATTAATTAGCATTGAGTGTACATAACACCAATGATGGGGGCTTGGAATGCTCGGATACATACGCATGACATTGCATGTGTTATGGGAGCTCAGGATGGGGCTCGGGGTTAGTATTGCTTGCGTGAGTCTCATCTCATGGCATGACATGACATGATCTATAACATTCAATCATAATAGACATATTTAAATGAATGTATCAAATGATCGTTGCATGTGACATTCCATATTCATTTAGGTTGAGAGGTATTCTCTATAGGAGTTACCCTATTGAGCGTTAGCTCACCCTTTATGGGAACATTTTTCAGGTATCGCACAGGCTTCCACCGAAGGCGAGGCCATGGGCCCGCTTTGACGACAGAGCCGGTCTGTGGCTTTTATTTTGACATTGTAGTCTCTTGTTTATACTTACTTTTGGCCTTGTATAATTTTTGTAACAAACATTGTTTATATTTACAAAGGCATGTATATGAGACTCTTTTGAGACATTTATTCTTTTACGAATAAATGTATGTACTGATAATGATTATGGTAGTATTCGAGACTATACAATTGTGAATGGATAGATAGACCCGGTGTGGTCAATGTTGTACAGGTTGCGTTTTGAGTAGAGCTCCTTGTACAAAGGAGACTCTGTCCAATTTTGTTAAGTTATGGATCCCAAAAAATGGGGCATAACGGTGTGGTATCAAATTACCCGATATCCACCAGTATTACACAGGTCGATGGATAACAATCGGATAATTACAGACACCCGGACTTTGGGGTGTCACAAATACAGTCTCCCAAATACACACTCTCTCATCTCTCATGTAACTCTATCTCTCTCTTACAAACATTCTCTCTATCTCATTCATTTACTTTTGTGAGTGAATGTTATGTGTTAA